CAGTTCCATTAGTTTCAGGAGAATTGAGGGAGCTTTAGGAAGCTCCGAGATCATCAGGACAGATCAATAAATTTCAAGGAAATCGCTGAAATTTTAAAGGAGTTCCAAGAAACTCAGGCAATTTACGAAAACTTCAGCAATGTTCCGATGGGGCTCATGCAAATTTTAGAAACGCAAGGGAAGTTACATGAACATAAGCACATTGTGAGAACATTTTATGAGAAGCTCCGTGCTTGCAGTGTTGATAACTTTCAATTCTGAAAAATCGGAAAGATCAGAGAACTTCAATGCTGATGTTACTATAAATTCAAGAAAAATGTGAGAGCACTTAAAACATTTCGTAATCTTCAAGAAAGTCTAGAGTTGAAGGTTAGTTCTCTAGCTAGTTTATTAGAGATATTCCGGTAGTCTCATTATAATCAGGGAAGTTCCAAGTATTTCAAAGATGATCAGAGAACTCCAAAACAGCCCGAGGAAATATGGAATAATCCTAAGTACATTTTAGGAATGTTCCAAACACTTCAGGGACATTACGGGGTCTTCAGGAATGACCATTTGGAAAATTTTCTGGATCATAAGATCATCTCCAAGAGCTCTTTCTTCCGGAATTATGTCCTTGTTTCTTTCGACTGTTCCGTTAGCGCTCTGGCTCCCAACTTCCTCCAGAATGTTTTATTCCAATCTACCTTATGAAGTTTCTTCCGTCTTCTCCAGGAAGTTTAATTAAACTTCTCCCAGAAATTTCTTTCGTCTAGTTCTGGAATTTTGTCCAGTTGTTTTTTTTTACTTCTATTGGAAGGTTTTTCCGAGCTCCTTCTGGTTTCCTCCGAAAATGGCTACTTCTGGAATTTATTTCCGATTTCTAAAACGTTTCTGCTTTCTTTTGAATGTGAAATCCGATTTTTTTGTAAATGTTTCTTTAAATTTTCGCCAGAAGTTTCTTAATTTATGTATTGGATGTTTCGCGGATGATTTTCCGACTTTTCTTAGAACTTTCCTCAAATTTCCTCCAACCCTAATAAAAATTGTATGGTTAATTTGCTTAACGACGTGTTCTGGGTATCATCCAAACCATTTGTGGAATAGTTCAATGATTTGGGTTATCGTTCGTTTATAGTTATTTTTTATTAGGGAAGGGAGCTTCTTTCTTCTTTCTCTGGATGTTGTTTTCAGCTTCCTCAAGAAGCTAATTCAAACATTCCCCGGAGTTTTCTTCCGGAATTTTCCGATAATAGTCCAAAAGATATTTTTTTTTCATTAAAATTAAATACCGATAAATACCGATTTTTTAACACCTTTGATACCGATAAGCTTTAAAACATTCTGGCTACGCTGCTTCGTCGATCTCACTCTCACGCACACTTATACAGACAGCTGTTACTCCCGTTCTCGAGGATACTATAGTCCTCTCCAGCCGGGTTCGTATTGGTGCGATTTGCGTGTGTTAGTGAGATGAAATTTTTTGTTAGCTGTGAGAAATTTTTTGTTTGCTGTAAGAACTGTCATTCTAAAGTAAAAATAAACAACAAAACGAAAACAAACCCTACGCTTGCACGGTAACAGTCAAGTAACTTTTTTGTGAGTAAAGGTTAACTCATTTTTGATAAAGGTGGTTTTACTCACTAATGAGTAAAGTATTTTAACAACAATGAGTTTCTGCTAACAGTAGCTAATGGCGGTAAGCTCCAATCGGTATTATCCTCGGATTAAATCCCGATCAAGATTGTCCGGCTGCTTGATGTCGACATCAGAGTTATTCAACACGATGCTATGCAAACACTTCGCAGATCATCCAAACAGGGACGGTATTAAAAGTTAATCCGAGTTGGAGCTTACCGCCATAACAGTTACTACTTAATTCGACAGTGAGCATGCATAAGGGCGTATACGCGATGATCGATTCTCTTCATCGTTTTTCTCTTTGCATTGCTACAGCTAAGCGAAACAATTTTGTAGAATTTGTTCAATGTAGAGTTGTAATAGGTTGTATTGGCTTTCAAAAGCAACAACAAACGCACCGACAAACGTTAAATCTAGCGAGTTATTAAGAAAAGAGAAAATCGATGAAGAGAATCGATCATCGCGTATACGCCCTTATGAATGCTCACTGTCGAATTGGCATAATGAATTACTCATTAATTAGTAGTGGCGCTTTTATTGACAATGGGTTCACTTTTAGTCATAAATGGATGTTTGATTCTTACCGTGCACATGACAGTATACGCTAGGGTGTGTAAAATTATGTTATCAGTGTAGTGTTCGTGAGATCCTGCTTGGAGAACTCAACAGACAATCATGTCATAGAATAGAAGTGCGAATCCAGGATCTTTCACTATTTACATCCAACATATTTCAAGAACAACATGTGAAAAGGGCATACAAGCTTTTTGTAAACAAACCTCCTTTTGCCCTTTTCTCGACACCCATATAACATCAAATCAAACCATCAAGATCACCGGGTAGGGGAAACTTTCCCCTTCCCGATGATGTTGTTGGTTTGCGTGAGCAACCTTCAGTTGGCGAGAAAAGGGCCTTCAAAGGTTTGTTTACAAAAAGCTTTCTTTTCACATGTGGCTCTTGATTTCACTAGTAAGGAGCTCGAGTGCTGAGTGCTCAAGATTCTCCAAATTTTGGTGCTTAAAAATAAATCATCGTCGGTGAATAATGACGTTGAGTCAGTATCCGTTTTTAATGAATACGAGTTCCAGCTACGAGAACACTAAAACCACAAACGAAGCGAGGGGGACGACTCTATCTACGATGCAGAAAAAAATGTGTTATGCTGTGGCTAGCTGTGCGCACGCTGAGTAGATAGAAAGAAGATTGATGACGATTCTGAAGATTTCATGCAAAAAGATGACGCGCGATGCAAACAGATGCGACAAATGAAAGAAGATTTTTCGAAGATTGATTCGCTAGTGTGAGATTTGTTGAGCATCTAAACTTGAGATTTAGATGTGTCGCCCCCCTCGAAACGAAGTGACAGACGACTTACTGGCGAAGAAATCCATTAAAATTCACTGTAATAGAATTTTCTTGGAAGCTTGTGCCATCATCCACCAGATGGGTTAGTTTTTTTGTTTTGATTTGAACAAAGTTGATTTTGTGTACAATGATTCTTTGACAGTGTGCAAAGAGTGCGTATCATTTTGTCATTTTTTTATGCATTTCAGTTTTGAGTAGAGTGAAAGAGATAGAACCAAAATATTCTAGTACATTTGGTGAAAATGCTAGTTCAATCCAATAGTGGTGTTGCCATGTAATACAATCCAGTAGTAGTGGTGTTGCCATGTGGTACACTGAAAAATTGCAATAGAAGGTTAGTCACCAAAGTTTTCGAGCCGCTCCGTCTGTCACTTCGTTTGTGCTAAAACTGAATAGCTGCGACAACCAAGAGGAAAAAATAACTAATTGCTCAATCTAAAATTTTGTATTTCCTTCCATATAATAGCATCTGAAATTTTTTAGATAGTAGAAATAAATAACATATAATAATCCTGAAATGAAACTTATTTGTCACTAGCTATCCAGCTTTCCATGCTCGGTAATGGTGGCCTGTTTGTATGAATACATGTATCCTTCACTGTGCTTTTTTACACTAATGGTGGTAAGCTCCAACCGGTATTATCCTCGGATTAAATCCCGATCAAGAATGTCCGGCTGGTTTGATGTCGACATCAGAGTTAATCAACATAATTCTGAGCAAACATTTTTCAGATCATACAAACAGGGACGGTATTAAAAGTTAATCCGAGTTGGAGCTTACCGCCATAACTGGAGGGCGTATGTTGTTCCATTTTCTTCTGCTACTGATGGGAGAAGGATAGGGAGGCGTCAAAATCCGAACATCCACATAGTGTCAAAAAACACAGTGAAGGATACATTTGTTCATAAAAACATGTTACAACATGTTCATACCAACATGGCCGCCATTACCGAGCATGGAGAGCTGGATAAAGTTCATGTGTGACCACACATATAATTTATCTTGTAATTTATTGAATGTCGAATGGAACACATTATGTGTCTCACACATAAATTTCATTTGGGAAGTCATATTGAAAAAATTATTATTATTATTATTTATTATTAAGGCTTTCAGCCTTAGGCTGGTTCGCCTCCAAATATTGAAAAAATCTATGTGGCACATAAACGGAATATGAGTAGTTTTCTCAGTGTATGTTATAAGATGGATCCAATAAACCGTACAATGTCGAATTCGACAGTGAGCATGCATGAGAGCGTATACACGATGATCGATTCTCTTACAGCTAAGCGAAACAATTTTCTAGAATTTGTTCAATGCAGAGTTGTAACAGGTTGTATTGGCTATCAAAAGCAACAGCAAACGCACCGAGAAACGTTAAATCTAGCAAGTTATTAACAAAAAAGAAAATCGATCATCGCGTTTACGCCTTTATGCATGCTCATTGTCGATTTGTTTCCGTGTGGTAAGCTGTGTAAAAATCGAGGAAAATTTTACTCACTTTATGTACTTTTGAGTAAAATTCGGCTCAATTTTGAGTTACTTCCATTGGCCGTGTAAGGTATATGCATAATTCTCGACGAAATCGACTCGGAAATCGACGAACGCGAAATGCGCTCCAAGCGAGCAAGAGAGTCGCACATGGGACAACCAAGTCGACAGTGAGCATTCATAAGGGCGAATACGCGATGATCGATTCTCTTCATCGATTTTCTCTTTGCATTGCCACAGCTAGGCGAAACAATTTTCTAGAATTTGTTCAATGCAGAGTAGTAACAGGTTGTATTGGCTATCGAAAGCAACAGCAAACGCACCGAGAAACGTTAAATCTAGCGAGTTATTATCAAAAGAGAAAATCGACGAAGAGAATCGATCATCGCGTATAGGCCCTTATGCATGCTCACTGTCGAAGTGTATTCTGGTATTGGCTTCTGTTTTCTGGTATTGGCCCCATTCCATTATCGAGTTGATAAAACGCACGAACCGGAAACGTTGGATTGTGCTCTGGAATTTGGACGGAATTATTCTGCGGAAATGAATACGGTTCTCAATTTCTTCGGACGGCAGCATGGCAATGGTAAGGGTAGTGATCGTATTACAAAAGGGGCAATGAATTTCAAGAATTTGTAATTGCAGGCTTTTCGGCGCTAAATGATACGGCACTGACGCGGTTGTCCGTGGGAGAACAGGACAGCTGGGATGGAATTACACCAGCACCGTCACTGCCGAACTTTAATCCGTTGTGGCCGATTTCGGCAGCCAAGTTTGCCAAGTGCAAGGGAAAGGAACATATTCTGGCCATTGCCAATGATTGCGGCCAGATAGCGTTGCTGAATACGAATTTGCGGACCAATAATCGGGGAGGTGAGCGACCGTTGGTGTTGGAGGGGAAACAGTGCCACAGGAGTGGCGTGTTCGATATCGATTGGATGCCGGGCAGTATGAACTTGGTGTCAGCTTCCGCGGATAGATCGGCGCGTTTATTCGCGGTGACGGAATCGAGTTTGGAGCTTATACGGACTTACAACGATCACTCGCAAGCGGTGAAGACGGTGGCGTTTAGGCGCACGGATCCCGCTGTTTTTGCCACCGGTGGGAGGGATGGTGTAATTGCATTGTGGGATTCCAGGGCGTCCTGCGGATTGAATATGACACCGAAGGCGGATAATTTTATCTATGGTGGACACACCGGCGGTCTTGGAACACCTGAGTTTGGGAAGCGACAACTTCCACTGGACGTGTACGATAGGAGCACCAGATGTAGTATAACTGGGCTTGTCTTCCAGGATGATAACACGTTGATCTCGTGCGGTGCCGGAGATGGTATCGTTAAGGTTTGGGATGTTCGACGGCACTACTCCAGCCACAAACGGGATCCCCTGCCGAAGCACAGTTTCCCCTATGCCGGGACTAGCTTTAAGGGTTTCACAAATCTCCTGATTGACCACACCCGGAACTGGCTATACGTGAACTGTATGGATAACTACATCTATTGTTATAACATTTCTGGCTATCCAGCGGTGCCGATTCAGAGGTATAGCGGACTTAATAATAACTCGTACTTCATCAAATCGTGCCTGAGTCCGGATGGGCAGTATTTGTTGAGCGGTTCCGGTGACAATAATAGCTACATTTGGAATGTGAACAATCCTAATCCGTTGGTGCGGTTGGAGGGTCACGTGGTGGCAGGCGTTGCCTGGATGCAAAGTCGCAAGGTCACCCGGATTGTGACATGCAGCGGTGTGCAGTGTCGATGCATACCGATGATTCAGATTTGGAGAGTAGGTCTGGAGGAGACCGACGAGGACATGAAGGTGCAATACAAGCGTCACGCTAAGTGTTGCGTTAACTACTGGCACGAATCGGGTAAGGTTCGATCGAAATCATTGGAGTTCACCCCGCGATCTATTGGAAGCCTTATCACTGACTACATCATCAATAAGCAACTTCCACTCAAAAGAACATTCTCGGACATTGACAGAGACAATCTGGAAGATCCATTAGAACTAGCCTTATCCCATACTGCCCTTGGGAAAATCACCAAACCCAACGGCGAACCCAGCTGCAGCAAACATGCTAGTAGCAAATATTCACCAACCGTGAATCTACCGAACTTTGCCCTGTATGGGGAAGCTCCCCATCTGGTCAACGTGACAAACAATACCAACAAACGCAAGCTCAAGGAGAATGCAGACTGGCTAACGAGAATCCGCCAACAGAAGCTCCTCCAACTCCAAGCAGCGAAAACCATTTCCATCGAAACGAGCTCCACAAACGAAACCAGGTCCCGGAGTGGCGCCCAAGAGCCGGTCGAGTCGGCAACCGAGCCCACCGGAGACGTCGAATTTGTATCGATCTCCGCCCCTTGAAACGCCCACCGGAAATGGGACCAATGTGTGAATGTTGAACTTCTTTTAAATTGACAATCTGTTTTATTATTCTTACGTTTTATTTCTTCTGATTTACGGTTAAAGACACCATTTGACGAATAAACTAATCTGTTTCTTTTTAGAGAGCTTTTTTCTTTGTGAATTCAAGATGACGGATGAGGAGGGTTGATTTCAATCCAATATGGTAGACTCAGATTCAAGATGGTGGCCTGATGTTGTTGGTTTGCGCGGGTTCGCGATCGCGTGGCCTTACAAGTTTTTTTTTCAATAGCTGTTAGGCCCAAATGTTACGCGCGAACGAACGGTGATGTTTTACCATGCGATCATGTCAAGCTGAACATTTTGGCCTATTCTGCGCGGCGTGTGAGGTGAGGTGACACGCTGTCACTTGTGAAGTGACAAATGTCACCTCGGGTGAGGTGACTCTCCGTGCAAATCAAATGGAGAGTCACCTCACTCGAGGTGACAATTGTCACTTCACTGTCACCTCACCTCACACGCCGCGCAGAATAGGCCCAATTGCATTAGTTCCTAAGTAACATTGATCGATTCTCTTCGTCGACATTCTCTTTGCATTCTCACGGCCATGTTAGGACATTCCCAGCTATTTTCAGCACATAGATCGATGAAAGAAGCTATTAAATACCTAGTAAAGTGCATGAGGATAGATTAGATTCAAGGCATAGATTTTCCAAATTTAAGCGCTATAGGACTTATTTTGGCGATAATGCTAATATTTAGGTGAAGTTATTGCCTAGGCCAGCATTCCCCTGTAATATTTAATTCTTCACAATGTTAGCTTCATTTACTGCATTAAATTATATCACAGCATAATGACAACTATAGATTTTAAATATAATTTAAATAAATTGTCCATAGTTGGAGATGGTTAACGTCAAATATCAGACTTAAAGTGGCCATTTTATACGATGGATGATGAGATGAAAGTATAGAGTTGATAGTTCCGTTAGAGTACAGAAAAATTGTAAATATATAGAGAGTAGAAAGCGTGCTAAGGCCAATTTTGAGGAAGGCACGAATCGGGTTGATCATCTCGTTTACCAAACTCCCCCGTACACATTCGGCGCATTCAAAAAGCACTCTAAAGTAACTCAAAACTGATGTCGCGTGAAACGTTCCCATCAAAATTCACCTCACGACATTTCCATTCAAACTTCGAAAAGCTCTCTGCCGTCGGTATAACCAACTGGGTAGATGGGTAACGACATTTTCCCCCCACCTCGTACTGATAGAAGAGTTAAGTTCTTATCATCGCACCTCGCTCATAATAAAGAAAAAAAAAAAATATATAAAACGCCAGCAAAGGTGTGCGTTGGGCTTCTCCGTTCCGATCATGCTTCCGCTGCACACCAATTTTTTCCCATCGGAAAACGGGGTTTTCCGGTGATTCCAAAATGCCTTCCTCTTCCCCCCGAGTTCCTGAGAGCTGATAAGAAACGTGAATAGCGGCAAAAAAGCAAACATCCCATGCCTAGCCTACTACCAACGACGACGCTGTCACATCAGTGATGGCGATGACATTAGCTGTGCTGGGATGGGTGGGGGGGCTAGCCTAGAATTTCTACATGCCAACGACGATGGTGACTAATTTGAATTTTCTGGTTCTGTTCTGTGTTTTTCTTTCTCCACAGCGTTCGCCCGTTCCGAGTTCCAATTTACGGTTCTGCCAAAGTACACCCAGGTGTACGAGGGAGAATCGGTTGTGTTCAAGTGTCGAGCTTTCTTCGACGATGAGATCGACTTTTCCTGGACGTTGAATGGTAAGTTTCAAAGGGGGGTGGGGTAACTAGAAAGACGGAAGCAAACCGAGTCTAAACTGAAATTGAATGAATTTTCCAAAGAGTAGCACAAGAATTTGCATTAATTTTCTTCAAATTTCTGATTTGGAATTCAATTTCTGCAGCGGTTCTGGTGTTCTATTTGCAGTTGAAAGAAATGTGCTGCTGCTGGTGCTGGTGCCGGTGACATTTATGCACCGGCGATCGATTCGAAGCCAGCATGTTTTCTTCTTTTGCTGGAACATTAATTTTTATTATATGACCATCTGCTCACCCCCGTTTCCACTTTTTCTATCTCTCTCCCCAAACTTTGGCAGGCAATCCCATCCGACTGGATCGTCGTGTGTATTTAAATGGTTCCAATCTGCATATAAACGGCGTCTCCCAGCGGTCGGACAACGGAGATTACGTGTGTCTGGCGACGGCTCGTTCCTCCGGGGCCCGGGTCGCTACACCGCCGGCCAAGCTGGACATCATCCGTAAGTCCAATTTTTATTGTGATTGCCTTTTTTCACGCTCTTGTTTTGCGTTTCATGCCCTCTGAAATCTACCAATCGAACCTACTAAAAGTGGAACTATACCTATATGTACATAGTTTGCTTCTTGAGAATTATATATTTTCGGTCTTGTTGAACCTTGTGACTCATGTGGATTCCGAATAACGTGAGCGAAATATTATATGAAGTAATTCTTGTTGTTTATAGAATTTCATCATTTCAGTCATTACTATAGGTACGACTACAATACTAGATAATTCTTTGGTAACCACAAACTAGCTTTAATAGGCTTTAAGTAACAGAGTATACTTTATTAGGCATATGGATGCAAGGCATCTGTAGTACATTAGGCATAAAGACATTATGCATGATGGACATTTTGCATTGAGATTTTGGAAATTATGATTCTGGCCCGGAGACTAAATAAAGCCTGGTTAAAAGTAAATCTGGACGCTGTAACAGTGCACTCCTACCAAGGGACCATGCATTAATTATGTCACGCTAATTTGAGGAAAAATTAACCCCCCTTTTCAGCCTTTCGTCACGTTTTTCCTATATTGCCTATATCTAATGCATTGCATGTTACAAAATCTTACACCCCCTCCCCCTTAAGGCCCAAACGCAATGTGGGCGGAAGCGGAACGGAAACGGAAAGTTTGACAGTTGTCAAAAATGACATCAAGGTGCCTAACCACGGGGGCAACAATCACGAATTTCGGCGGAGCTCACATCAATGTGATTAATATAGTGGGTAAGGAGGATGACTGCAACAGACTACTCTTTCTAGCATTCAGCAGTGCAATGCGAGTGTGAATGAGTAAGCTGTCTTGTTCTGTCGTGCCTCCCTCAGTTTTCCCGCGGTCAGTATGTCCAAAAGTGTCAGATTTTCCAAAAATGTCAAGATCATGTGAGCTATGGTGCATCTATATGTGGTTGACAGGGATAGGGTTCCCCTGTGCCTAACCGAAGACGATTTTATTCTAACTAGTTTTCAATCCGACAAGTAGGCTTACTCAGATCGGGCTTTTCCATTTCCGCTGCCGTTCCGCTTCCGCTGTTATTGCGCTTGGACCTTTAGGCATTATATCTAGATAGAGCTGGAATTAGGGCATAACAGCTTTTGTAAACAATGACTTTTACTGGCAACACTGTACTTTCTCTGCGCCATTGTAAAATCTAGAGTCGGTGTATAATGAGTCACGCCAAGAGTGAAGCCAAGTCTACCTATTGAACTGTCAAACCGGCTACCTATCGTGCAAAGTAAACAAACATAACGATGCTATGCAAGGTCCACGAAAGGTATTGCAATAAAATATAAAATGAAATCGAAGAAATAATCATAAACACGCAGTGATTAAATTGTCATGGGGTACGTTTGGTAATGATGAGTAATGGAAATTTCTATTATTTTTTGATAAAATAATTTGACATAATCACTGATATAATGATTAACCACAGACAAACAGACATAACATTCGCAAGTTGTTCATCGAACAAGCATTTAACGGACAATTTAAAAGTATCGTAGTTGGTAGTAACGCCACCTGTGGCGCGCATAGTCAATTCCCTTGCGTTTGACGTTTTCACACTATCTCCATCTGTTCAGTGTAGTGCCCACCACAGTGTACTCAACAGATGGCGGTAATGTTTTAGCGACGATGTTTTACATTGAGAAATATTCAATGTGTTATGTCTGTTAGTCTGTGGATTAACTACAGACGCTATTTTTTGTTCTCGCTAGAAGTCATTTGAAGTTGATGTATACAATTCCCTACACACATAGAATTCCCTAGTGCACAGACACAGGCATTAGCCTGCCCGAACAGTGATTCATTCCGCGCAATACAAACCTAAATTAGGGTAATAATCGTTAATGATCAAAATCGCATGTATAATTACACTCCACTCAATCAATCCCACATTCCACAAAGCACCGGATAAAATATGAAAAAATGCCGTTTCACTGTAGCTTTGTGTGGCAGATGAGAAACGTCCAAGAAAAGCGAGGGGAGCGACACATCTAAATCTCAATTTTAGATTCTCAACAAATCTCACACACAATCTTCGAAATATTTTCTTTCATTTCTCGCATCTATTTGCATCGCGCATCATCTTTTTGCAGGAAATCTTCAAAATCGTCGTCAATCTTCTTTATATCTACTCAGCGTGCGCACAGCTATCCACAGCAAAACAAAAAATTTCCTGCATCGTAGATAGAGTCGCCCTCCTCGAAGAAAAGAAGATAAATGGCTCGTCCCTACTAGCTACTCTGTATTGTTTCGGATATGCTAGTTTTAGTTTCGATCCGCCGACTGCCACTCCACGGGCACATGATCATTCCGGTTTAATGCATCCACCTGCTTGTCGGTGACACCATTGACGAAGAGTCATTCTTTACCAGCGGAACACGTTCGTCGCATTCTGGGCCTCCTCAAATCGTGTATCCACGTTCTACCGGTTCGATGCCAGTGAGCCTTCTAATTTCCGCAGCAGCTTTCCCCGGCGGCTGTATGTTCCGAATGCCATAAGATGCGTTTCGATGCTGTCTTTGCTTTTGGAACTCCATCACCTTTTCGAGGGGATCCACCATTAGGGTCTGTTTGTCCAGCCTCTGAATCATCGCCTTGGTTCGGATTCCACTGCTTATTATCACAAACGAAGTGACAGACGGAGCGGCTCGAAAACTTTGGTGACTAACCTGCTATTGCAATTTTTCAGTGTACCACATGGCAACACCACTACTACTGGATTGAACCACATGGCAACACTACTACTGGATTGAACTAGCATTTTCACCAAATGTACTAGAAAGTATTGGTTCTATCTCTTTCACTCTACTCAAAACTGAAATGCATAAAAAAATGACAAAATGATACGCACTCTTTGCACACTGTCAAAGAATCATTGTACACAAAATCAACTTTGTTCAAATCAAAACAAAAAACTAACCCATCTGGTGGATCCACATCCCTGGCAAGACTACACTGAAACAAATCGACATGTACCGTTTACTGGATCCATCTTATAACATAGCAATGTCAGCAGATTTATTCATTCTATGTGATGATTGATAGATTCCATTGTATTATCACTTTAAAACTATGACTGCGATATGGAATGATTTCTATCGTAATTTCACATACTTTGTACTTGATAATACTTTGCTTCGAACGTGGTTAGCGATAGGTAAAAAGTATATGAATATTGTCTGATATATTTCATGGTGAAAAATTGTTGATATGTCATGTTGATATATGTGGGAACAGACATCTAGAAAGTAATGGAAAATCATATAAGTTTGCATTATTAGAAATTGACGTTTGTTGATATGTCGCGTGTAAACAGACATGTAGAAACTATTGGACTGTCATTTAACTTTGCAGTATAGGAAAACATGTATATCTCATATCTCATTGGAATAGCTTCCTTTGATTTTTGAGGTTTAAAGATTGTAAACAGATTTATCCCAATCATTATATAGTCATATAGATTTGCCTTTTAAGAAATCCAACAGCAAACATTTGTTTTGGCATGATTTTCTGGGATGAACATCGCTCCCAATAAAATACATCTTACTTGATTGTTCTTTATAAATTATTGAAACAATTTTCAACGATGTTATCGTACACTCATTAAAATGATTAGTTGATATTGTTGATATTGTAAATATTGCTAGCAACAATGATACTGTATTGAATAATCTTTGTTTGTTATTGTTTCATAAGATAAGGGGTTCCGGAAAAAAATGTATTGAGATTGAAAAAAAAAATGATTCTACTGCAATATTTACTTTGCTGTGATTCTAATTGTAAGCCTTCTACACAGCTAATTCAGATTCCAGCCCTAGTACTCGAACTTCATGAACCAGTTCCATCAACTCATATAATTTAGTCGTTGTTTTATTGCACACAGGCGCATTAAGAAAGATTTGAACAAACGACACCACCGAAACGGAACATAAACTTGTCAGTGCTATTTGTCTTCACTCTAGCAAAACGAGCATAAAGTTGCACTACATTCCATGTCGGGAGAGCTGTTCTTACTTCATGCTAATTGAACGAGCTCAATCTTGAAGTCAGCCGTGGTCCAGTGGAATCGAGCGCAGAAACCGAAAGCATCACACCTCAACAATTCTTGATCGAATCCCAAATCAGCTACAATAAAAAAAGACACAACTGTGAAAGCTCCCACTGTCTAATGTTTATTTTTCGATTTATTTTTAGAAATCGATTAAATATATGTGTCAAAAGAAGAAGTAAATTTCATGTGATTTTCACATAAACTTTACTTCGATTGATTTATGACACATATATAATATTGTGGTGAAACGTAAAGCTTATGCTTATGGGGTTCAAATCCATTTCAGTTAATTATTATAATTTGACTGATTTTCATTTATCATATGACGATCACATAAAAGTTACCAAATTATCAGCATTGTAAATGTATCAGATATTCATATAGAATTTACCTGACACATTTTCAATCATATCATTTTCAATGGATTATCTTATAGCGCAAATTTATTAGATTTCCACATAACAGGAATATGTCAAATTGGTTCAGTGTAGTACTCACTGAAGCCGCCACCGATGTTGGTGGTGTTAGTGTTGACAACACGTTTTTAAGCTACATTCATGTGTGCCGCATGGTCATATCGCGTAAAAAGTTTTTACCTGTGTAGTAATGCTGCTATCACATCCAATTAAAACGCACTTAATTTTTAGGCAACGATAATTCGTGTTCAACACAGTAAACAGCACCTATGGCACAACAAAGATTTAAAAAAAATCCTTCCCGCCACTCGCGACAAACTTTCCTAGCAACTTATCACGCATGAACAGAGCTTGCTTGAGAATATTTGCAGCAGCTGTCAAATGTTGACGTAAAATCGAACCAGAGAACCAGGATCTTTCGGCTTCACACAAAGTATATGGGAATGACATTCGTGTCATAGATGTGGGTGGATCATGGCATAAGCT